ATTTTCCATTTTACATTTCCCAAATCGGACAGAAAACAAACGCGCAAGACGCGTTTACGTCACATAAAAAAATATCCAGTTTTTTTTGTTACACACTGTAATTTCCGAGATCTGATGCCGTCACAATAGTGCATTGAGCTTCCTTCATATACAATGCTGTGTAGATATATCTTACCGTAGATGAAAAGTTATTATAATTTCTGCATCTATCAGCTGGATTCTCGAGGTAGTGTTGGGAGGCAGAAACAAACATCAGTGTATTTTAAGACAAGGCTGACTGGAACAATTATCAAGAAGTAGTAACACCCATTGACCTTGATGCTATACCAACTTGAAGATTGAATTTTTGGATCCACTCTTGGAAATATAATGTTATCATCCAAGCCTTGCCATTATTGTTATGTCAATATGTCATGGGAATATTGTTGATGTTTATATTTACTTTATGACCTGCAAGGTGTCTGGTCAGTCAGGTTCTAATCTATGAAGTAATTGATGAACCAGTATTAGTATCTGCTGATGCAAGTTGTGCAGGTTCAGGCCATGATTGGAGAATTTTGACCAGTAGCTTTGCAATCCCTTGTTGTAGCTGTCATCTGCAATGCAGGGATAGACATTTGCATTGAGACCAATGATCTTGAGGCCAAGTTGGGTTCTTTCCACTGGATGATATCAACAATGCCATATTAATATCTTAGTGAGACAGCAAAAAAGCTCAATATGGATTCAAGATAGCCTTGGCAGTGCATCAGTTGGGCTGATGCTTCAGCCAGAATTGGCTCTGATGGAACAGCACTAAGTACACTTTCACATTCAGGTGTGATATGAATGCACACATGCATGTGAGGGCAGTGTTGATGTGGAGGGATGGATTCCCATCCAATGCAATCTGGGGTGACAAGATAGCCAGCACTTGTGTTTATCAGCCATAAGCACTTCATTTGTACACATGATGTCATATACAGCAAAAGCAATTGTGTCTACTTGAGGAGCGGTAGCAGAATCATAAATGGTTTTCCAGAGAGGACGACCAAGAGAAATCAGGCGGCCTTCCTTTGTGGTGAGTCTACATATACAGGAGTTCTGTCAGCATGGCTGTCAAAACATCCAAGTGATTTTGAGCAATACGAGCTGATGATCGTAGAGAGCTGGTGGAACAAATTCACCAACTCGTGAAAAAGTGTCGAGAAAAACGGCTGCCGTGAACGTGTCCTCGCCATTCGCGCCGCTATTGTGGCTCGGAAGCATAATGCATAACGCAGCCAATAAAAATGGTTGTGAACATCTCTATTGCGACGGAGTCGTCATTAGTATATAGTATCATAAATACCGTATTTTACGGACTAAAGTACCACCCCTAGCCCTAGCATAGTACCACCCCACCATTTTGAAGCCCATGGAATGCAAAGTACCATGGGGAGCTATGATCAGATTGTTACACGAGATACTTGTAAAGTACCATGGTATAGTATTAAATTTTATTAAATCTGCTTGATG